TGTTGGTTTGAGATGTTGCCGTTCCGTTCAGCAACAACCAGAAAGTAAGGTATCTAAACACTTATCTCACTTCCTCTTGTCGTCAGCTCTTGCTGACAGGTAAGTCAAGATTGTCCGTTGCGTTGGCTTGAGATGTTGCCGTTTCGTATAGCAACAACTTTTGATACCAGAAAGTAAGGTATCTAAACACTTATCTCAGTTCCTCTCGTCGTCAGCTCTTGCTAACAGGGAACTCAAGATCGTATGGTTGTAGCGTTCAACCTGCCCGTTGGCTTGAGATGTTGCCGTTTTCTTTAGCAACAACTTTTGAACCAGAAAGTATGGTATCTAAACACTTATCTCACTTCCTCTGGTCATCAGCCGTTGCTGACAGGGAAGTCAAGATTGTACGATTGTTGCGTTCAACCTATCTGTTGGCTCGAGGTGTCGCTGTTGCGTTTAGTACCCTTTATTCCCAACTTTCTTGTAAATTCCTGAAACGCCTTGCTAGTATAGCATGTTCCTTTATCACATCGCACGTCGATGTGTACCATAAGTTTTGAAAATTTCTTCACAGAATTTGATCAAAGGTCCTGACTTTGTTGTCGTAACGGCTTTATTCCAGAGGTACTTTGTAAACGCGTCTACTGCTACTATTGGATAGTTAGATAGATTAGATAGTTCCTTTGGTGCTTTTCGTAAATGGTCCTAAGTGATCAAAGTGGATCGTATCCATAGGTACTAATATTTTCCTTATTAGGTGTAACAAGCCTTATTTTTTTGCCAGATGGAGTTGAATGTATTTCTTCATTCTCTTGCATTTGAGCTGATAATACCCAATCATCTTCATTTATTTATCTCTAATATATCAATTTCTGGAGGTTCACTCTGTGGGTAGACTGGATTGCGACTTAATGACATGTGAGTTTCGTTCCTAGGCGATAGTCTACACTAAAGTCGAATTCCTGTACTATAAGCCACGTCACGTTTTTGGAACGTAATGCAATGCAATTTGTAATCATCTTGAATTTCATTCCTAGAAGATACACCCTAAAACGTAGTAGCGAACGCACTACCGCTATAGTCTTGAGTTCGTATGAGTACTAACTTTGCCGCTCTTTCGTTGCTTATTATAAAACATCAATGGTTTTAAGTTACCATCTTTTTGCCATTGTAATAATATGCCTCCAAGGCCTCAGCTAGAAGCGAAAATAGTAAAACAATTTTTAAGATGTTCGAAAACTTGTTGTTGTTACTTCCCCAAAAGAAAACAATGTCCTTTTTTGCACGTCGGGACGGAGGGCGTGCTATTTCTGCAAATTCTTTAACATATTTTCGGAAATATCTCGAGAGGTCAAAAATTGCGTCACTTCGTGTACATTCGTAGGTGTAGGAAAGTTTTCTACAACTCTTGTTTTCTCTTTTCGGGGACTTACTCCCATAGCACTCAGTTCATGACGCAGATATTGAATATTTGTTTTGAAAAAATGGCATTTTACCAGCCTCAATGTAGCCCCAAATTTTCTAAAAGTTTCTCTTGATTGGTTCAAATCTGATGGGTCGCCCGTACATGCTATTAAGATATCGTCTAGGTAGGCTGACTCAGTTGTGTTTTTCCTTGTTTTAACAATGCAATGTATAGTTCTTTGGAAAACAGCTGGTGCGTCTACTAATTCAAAGAGCAAACGCAGATATTCATAGTGTCCATCGGGAGTGACAAATGCTGTTTTGTTTCTCGAGCTACTAGCAATGCGAATATGATTTGATTCATGACTAATACAATCGACGAGCACAAGGTGAATGAGATTCTTGTATTATTCCCGCTTCTGATACTCTCCTTATACGCCAAACCATACGGTTTATACGTTACTGGTTTATCACCTTGTAAAGTGATTTCCATTTCAACATTTTCAATACGGCCCAGTTCGTTAATTTTTTGTGCAAAACAGTCGCGATATTTTCTTGCCTCATAACCTCATTTAGGGTAAAATTTGTTAAATGACATTTAAATAACTGTTCACCCGAGAGTCCTTGTTTATTTTTACGTTAGGAAGGCAAGGCACTCCTCGAACAACTAATTGTTCCTCGTTGAAACAAATTTATTTCTCCGATATATTAAGGAAGGACACTAAATTTCCTACAATAACGCGTCTTAGTATCACGTATTCACCTTGTGGCTTATAGTAAGCCAGGCTTGTTTCTACGGCAATCCATTTTTCTATGCCCTAGACTTTTACATATGAAACACTTTTTTCTTGACTTGGGGCAATCATGTTGGAGATGTCCTGTATCATTACAGATGTAGCATCTTTTTGTCTTCACTAAACGTCCAAAGTTTGGAATGCAGTCAACCTTTACCGTAACATACATTTTATTTGTACCAAGCAATTTATTTATGACATCTTCAAGAACTCTAATTCTCTCTTGGTTGCTGCTTACTCAAGAACTACTGTTTCTTGTGGCGTCTACATGTACAGCCTGTTCAACAGGACACATTCCTTGGATGTGGCGTGTTTCCGTCACTATTGTCCTGACCAGCATTTGTATCGCCATTTCTGACACTCGGACTGTGGCTTGAACATCCCGTTTGCTTGTGTATCGTCCGCAACAATTGCTTTCTGAATCTGTACTGCTAGTGCTATCACTGCGTATATGTTTGCGTTTTCCCATATCTATTTAACTTAAAACAGCCCACTGCACCACGTATATTGTCTTGAGTTCTTTTTTTTATCCTTCAGGACCGAAATGTCACTTAACTGTTTATACTGTGTAACGAATTAACTAGTTATGCGACTCAGTATCTTCCGAATTCCGCGAGCACTATCCCACCGCTGCTCTGTAAGAAATTAATAGGCAAAATCTCAACGTATTAAAACAAACTGCAAAGCAAAAATATTCTTCGAGCAAGCTCCGCGATAATAGCCCACACCTGTGTAAGCAAAACCTTTATCGAATTATACTGTCGTAAATCTTCTAACCCTGTCATCAATATATTTCAACGAGACGCAGTTATGTTTCATTCCATTGACCTATTCTTACTATTTTTCAGGTTTCTATTTTAATGTGATTTTTGAGAGACACTGGAAACTTTCTTCGAAACAAAATCAGTTAATAGCAAATCCCAAAAATTAAAACAAACCAAACATCCTCTATATTTTGATTGGAAGAGTGAATAATTTTTTTACGCTTCGAACAATTCTGAAGTGCATCTGGACTGCAATTCAATAGTTCTTCTCTACTTTGTACAATTTTAGAGCATACTTGTTCTTTTAAAAGACCACAAAGGGGGAAAATCCAAAGAAGTCAAATCAGGTGACCCAGGTAGCAGAGGCTCGTCCAAGTGATTTCATTTTGCAGTCACAAGTGGTCGCTACTCGTCAGTTGACCGAAAACCACGTCAAATTGACGTCATAAAATTATTTGATTAATTCCAAAAATGGACTTTAAATTTAATAATTAATTCAAAATATTATCAAATTCTTCTATTTAAAACCGCGATGTAGGAGAATATATCTAGAGAGTGTCCAAATAGTGTGTCAAAGTGATATATCGTTTATTATTTCTTTTAGAGAAAAATGATGAATGTAAAGAAACAATTTAAAATTATTTTTAAATAATCAACAATATAAATATGTCTGAAATGGAACATACTGTATATTAAGACATTTTCTTAAGTAGTTATGGTTATGGTATATAGTGAGTGTTTAACATTTTATGGCCATTTTTCGTCGTTTATATGTTTATATGTTTGACGCAATTTCCGATGGCTGTAATTGTTTTATGCCAACAGTTTTATAAAGTGGTACAGTCATACTTGACTTGACATTAGTTCACATCGTTTACTTATAGTGAGTCAAAATGAAAAATATTAATTATCGTGGAAGACAGTGTACATTATACTTCCATTATTAATTTTTTTAAAAGGTTCATCTTTATTCATTATATATAATTCTCCACTTTCCGTGTGATTTACTTTCGATTTTTCCCACTCTAAAAAAAGGCAAATTTAAAAATCGCTATAGATTTCGGCAAAATCTGACTTTAAGTTGATGTAAAAAAATGTCACTTAAATGACAAAAATTGACGATTTAAGTTGACGTAGAAAAGATGCCAGTTAAATGAAAAAAATTAGCTACATTAATTGACGTAAAAAAGGCATCGCTTACTGTGACATTAGTAGGTCAAATTCACGTATTGTTAACATCTTAGATGTCATTTTCGTCATTTGGTGACTAGTTAATACGTCATTTTGACGACACTCCGCTACCTGGGGATCTGGTTAAATAGTCACACTAAAACTTCTTTGCCATAACATAGCATAAAAGGAACAAAATATTTTGAATTATAGCAAAATCAGCGCCAACTCTAAAGGATTTTGGAGTTTGATTCATTTTTGACTATAAAAACGTAATACAATTAAAGTAGTTAAAAATAAGTATAAGGAAAGGTATAGCAAATCGACGCAGAACAAAAATATTTTTTTTTTACAATCTGTAAGTAATAAATGAATTTTAGATGTCAGTGTTGAAAGTATAATATTGTCTATCGGTTTACTACACACCATTTAGAAATTACTGACTTCAAAATAATGATACATCTTTCAAATTTTTAAAAATAATTAAAATATCTAAGACGCTATAGAAAACTTAATTGAACCGACCGTTAAATTTTTTCGGTAATAAACAATTGAAGTAATGTACCGGGTGCTGCATTTAAAAGGAGGAAGTTAATGGCGACTTCTGTACAACTGAAAAAGTACATATTTTGAAAATATTTTGAAACGAAAGAGAATCTCGAATAACCTTGAATTTTGCACTGCAACGTTATTCGAGATTCTCTTTTGTTTTAAAATATTTTCAAAATATCAATCGTCCAGTTGTACATAAGTCGCCAATACTTTCCTTCTTTTAAATTAAACACCAGGTGTATTATTCTTCTAACTTAAATTAAAAGAAACTGCCGATACTTATGTACGCCTAATTAATTAATGATAATATAATTTAATTCAATTCTCGTTCTAGGCCTCAGGATTCTGGCGATCCAGAGTTCATCAAGCGACAGGAACAGAAAAGATCCGAATTGGATGAACAGCTTCGCGAATATATCGCCGAATGGAGATTGATAAGGGTTCAGGAGGCCCAAGAGCTAAAAAAGTAAAACGAGTTTGTATATTCAAATATTTAAATTAATATAACATTAAAAAACAGGACTCTCGTAATTGTAATATCGAAAGTTCTAGAATGGTTAGCTCAGTATACCTACATTATTTAGGTAAAGATAGGCATTATATTGATAGTGGAAGGAAATTTTGGATGGTCTGTGAGATATGCCTCTTTTTATTAACCACCAACTAAAACAAATTACCGAATACCTATGAAAATTTTAGTCCTAATAGCTATCTGAAATCATATTACAATTTCTCCTGCACAGGTAAGTTATTTTATGATGGTCCTGTGATTAATTACCATGTTTGAATAAAAAATCACATTGTCCGCCAGCTTTATTGCTTATTAATTTTTTAAATTAGTTTTAAGTGCTTTTTGTGCGATTTTATATATCTCGTTTTGGTCAATTTGTGACGTTGCCTTGTATAATTTATAGCTTGGCAAGACTGAAATTGGATGGGGTATTTTTTTTTACATGAATATGAATATATGCCCGACTGTCTTAAATATTTTTACTTTCGAGTAAATTTTTTTGGTTAGTTTTGGTTAGTTATATATATATATATATATATATATATATATATATATATATATATATATATATATATATATATATATATATATATATATATATATATATATATATATATATATATATATATATATATATATCAAGAGGAAAGCCAATACCATCAAATAAATTGAAAACTTTAATTTAAACACTAAAAACTATGTGTGATAAATGAAGAAAAAGTGCCTTATTTTGTCGCTGTTTTTCATTACACATACCAATAACCATAATTGAAGCCCACTAAGTTGTAATCATTTTTGTGGGATAACGGAGAACTGAGAAAACATCTGAGTATACTTCGGCAACGACATGTAAGATTTTGCTCTGGTTTAAAAATTAGTAGGTATATCGATAATTATGGGCACGACTTGAGAAAATTTGGAATAAACTTATTAATTTAATTATTTAATAAATGCTCATCTGAGGAATAAAACTAAAACAGATTGAAAGAGAAACAAGCGAAAAGAAAAGTGGCACGCGCAAATGAAGAGAAAGCAACGGCTGAAAAGAAGAAACAAGAGGAGGAGAAAAGGATAAAAGAGATAGAGGAGATGAAGATCAAAGAGGCGGAAGCGAAGAAGCAAAGATTAATCGACGCGGAGAAAAAGCGACAGGCTATGATGCAGGCTCTCAAAGAACAGCACAAGAGTAAAGCTCCGAACTTTATCATCAAAAGAAAAGCTTTGGCGGTGTGTAAATTTTTATCGACGCCTGTCCTATTCAAACATTTCGTCGCATATTTTAGGCGGCCTTATCCGATGCGGAATTGGAACGTACCAAAACCAAGGAGCAGCTGGAAGAGGAGAAAAAAATCGCGCTCACCGTCAGAATGAAGCCTCTTAAGCTCGACGGCTTGTCGGTCGATAAGCTGAAGGAAAAAGCTAATGAACTGTGGGAGTGGATTGTAAGATTGGAGACCGAGAAATACGATTTGGAAGAGCGAGAAAAGAGGCAAGAGTACGACGTAAGCACTTGTTTTGCTGGCACGATTTAGATGAACTAGCGCAAGATCACATTTTAGTTGAAGGAGCTGAAGGAACGACAGAGGCAACAGCTTCGACACCGCGCTTTGAAGAAAGGTCTGGATCCCGAGGCTTTAACAGGACCTCACCCGGTAAGCTTGGAAAATCGCTTGAACTAAATTTGAGTGACTAACCGATTTCAGTATTCTTTAATAAATAACTAGATAACGCTAACTTCTCTGCAAATGGTGTATCAGTATTTTCTATCCTTGCTAAGGCATTTGAGGCACATCTATTAAAAATATGACATGCATTTGCTGTGCACACAGTTTGCAGAGTTGTGGAAAACGTTGGTGGAGGGCCTGGTTAATGGGGATCAAGTTGCACTAACACTGTATCAGCTATTAGACACTGGCATACCTCATGGCAGGAGCTGCGTCCCCTATTTTTCACTATTTTTATAACTTGTGTTAAGTTTTTATCTCTCAATTCATTCCTCTAATAGCCCATATTAGTTTTCTGGAACACCCTTAAACCAATTTTTATATTTATTGAACTATTGAAAATACACCGCAACACAGTCATAGTCAGGACTCCTTCGAATTTAAACTTGTACAATAAGTTACAATATAACAAGTTCTAAATAATCTTCTTCTTAAGGTGCTGTCTTCTTATAGAAGGTTGGTAAGAACTTCGGCAAATCGCTCTTTGTCCTGCGCTACTCTTAGTAGTGATTGCGAATCTAGACCGCTACGTGTTTTGATGATTCTAATAATTTCCTTGTTTTTACCACCATATATCTCAAAAGTTAAGACGTTTAAGACATAAGTTTTCTTTTTAAAATGCACCCAAAATTCGCACAATTAATTATTGACATTCCATTAGAAAACACCTTGTATATAAGCTTTCACAAATCAGTATCTGATAATTAATGATAGAAAGGAATTTGTAAGAAGACTCTTCATTCCAAGAAATGTACTTCTGGCACTTTATATGCGGGATCGAATTTCCGTGCAATGAAAATGCTCTGAAATGTGCCAGACACTGGAGTGATATATGAACAATATCTTATAATTTCTACAAGTCTACAAGATTAAGTTGTTACTAGTTAACGAGTTTCCTTAAGTTTACTATTTAATACAGGAGATATTTCTTCTTTTGTCGGTTTTTCTCTTAAGGAGAATATTAAGTTTGTTAACCACAGGATTATGGTCGTAGCTAATATCGGATCCATGGTAAGTTTAAACACCTTTAATTCCATTTCGGTATTATTTGATTTCTTATAATATTGTATTAATTTTCACCTGGTCCTCTCCACGTGTACAATCGCTTCTATGGTAGCTGAAACTATCGTCATTACAGAACTTCACCAACATATCGCCGCTCTCATTTCACCCACCCAGACCCTTGCGTTGAAATCACTCATGACTATGTTGACCTCTTTTTTTTGGTTACTTTTATTGAATTTTTAAGATCTTTATAAAACAGGGTTATCTTCTGATGCTAAGTAATAGGAAATTGAAAAAAACATCAGAAATAATTTCTTCAATGCTTCAATCATGTTTGGGTTAAATCAGCGGCTGAGACAGGCAAGTTTGTTTATTCAATATTTTGTTGTTTCCTTTGTATTTCTTCCCAGATATATCTTTATACAATTTGTTGGTTTATATGTTTATTTTATTCATTGTATTTACGACTTGATACAATATTCTATTCAATTAGCCTAAAATTCAGCTGGCATCGAAATATGAGCGGCGCGTAGATACAAGGTCGTTCGACGAGAAGCAGCAACTCTTCCAGGGTGTAAGTGCTTTTCCGTAGAAATTTGCAAACCGATAAGGTTACATTTCAGGGCCTCGATATGGTGGAAATGGAAACGACGGAGAAGGTGTGGCGTGAAAGAATGAAAGAATTCATGGGGCGACCTAGAAGTATGTAAGTGTTTTGAATCGTTTTGTGGAAATTAAGTCTTCTTTTGATTCAAGGGAAATTGCCTAGATGGTGCGGAGAGCGTCCTGGTAAGAAAGCGGGAGATCCGGATACACCGGAAGGTGAGTCCCTTTCGACGTTGATACCTCGTAACATATGTCTATATATCTAGGGGAAGAGGAGGGAATCAGACTTGGCGATGACGACGTTGATGAGATAGTGAAAGAACCGGCCCCGCTGGCCGAGCCCGAGGATGAAGACTTGGAGGAGGAGGAAGTGGAGGTGGACGAGGAGGAAGAGGATGATGACGACGATGATGATTGAATATATTTATACTCATGTGTTATTTACTACCGGCTCCGAACTTAATAAAGGAACTTTACTTGCGATGGTATTTATTGAGAGTAATGAGACAGGTTTATTATCCCCCCTCAGCCCTTAGCTTCCGACCTTTCCCTACTCTCTGGTAGTATTAATAGTTTGTCAATATTGGTTGGTGGATAGCTGGTTATGGAGAGAGTCGTATTTGTTAGGAGGAATCCACATCCAAAAAAAAATACATTGTGAATTATGCCCATGATAAAACGGAGCACCGCGAATACATGCAATTTGCATAATGGGAATAGGTGGAGCACCCTGTACATCGTTCATTTTATGCTGGGTGACCGGCCCTGTGTGCGACCGAACAAACTCAGGAAGGCGGGAACGAGGGAATGATTACAAAATCCGCCTTCCGTGATACAATTCAAAAGTTTGGTAGCCATCGCGAGAGGGGTAGTATAGCAAAAATTATTGCTATTGTGTGTATAGTCAACATAGTAGTGGGGCCTAAGAAAAAATCATGGATTTTTGCAAAAATTTACTTTCTTCATTGTTACATTTTTTCTTCAAACATAGAAATCTATTCATTTGGCTATATTATCGAATTATGTGTAGTTTACAAAACTTGTTAAGTAATATACATGTCGTGGCGGTGAATAAGGCACATAATTTGCAAATCACCAACCAAACTTTTAATGAAAATAACATTACAATTGTTCAAGGAAATAATAATCCCGGGACTGCCTCACTCACAACACATTTTTTAAGCACGGATCGCAAATATGTTGCTGCACTTCACATTAAACGCGCACCACTTTTTGTGAATTTACGAACACACGGAGGTATTAAACTAAAATAACTTTATTAATAATGAGTACACTGATTTAAATTAACACTCTGTCTTATATTCTCTAGGTTAGGTTCTGTTGAACAACGTTTCCTCTTCTCCTTTTACAGTGGATAAAATAACAAATAATCACAACACTCCTCCTCGATTTGAAGTTTTACAAAAGTGTTTGGATAAATGAAAATCGTGATTACAAGAATAAACATTAGCAGTGTTATACAATATTACACTTATCTCTACGTTTTACAAATAAATCCTTGCTTAAAGGTTTTGTCAACATGTCTGCTAAATTTTCCTCAGTTGGTACATATTCAACAGATATTTTCTTGTTTAATACTAAATCTTTTAAATAATGATTCTTTATATCCATGTGTTTAGCCCTTTTTGAATTCTCATTACTTTTTGACATTAATATTGAACTTCTGTTATCACAAAAAAAGCAGTGTAGGAATATTAAGCTTAAAATCATTTAACATCCCTTTAAGATTCATTAGGTCCTGAGCACAAGCAGCCGCTGCAACATATTCCGCTTCGGCGGTAGAAAGAGCAACGCATCCCTGTTTCTTTGAAAACCAGCATACAGGGTTGTTACCAAGTAGAATTAAGCAACCACTTACACTCTTCCGATCATGTTTATCTGATGCCCAATCTGAATCTGAAAAAGATTTAAATTTTACTCTGTCATTACTTGATTCATTTTTCACAAAAGTTGATCCTTTAAATTTAGTAGTATTTAACTAACCTAATATTATTTTTCCTGCGTTCCAAGTATCATTTGTTGGCTTGTCCAGAAATCTACTTAAATATGAAACAGAAAATATTATTATCAGGTCGTGTAGTTGTTGACAAGTACATCAGTCCTCCGATCAATTGCCTGTAAGGAACATTCACTATCTCACTATTTTCATTATATTGAAATCCTTTTTCCATAGATAGATTTTCCACTACATTCTTTCATGTTAAAATTTTCCAATAGTTTTTCAATAAATTTTGTTTGCTTTATTTCTACTTTACTTTGTTCTTCCTTTCTGTTTATTGTCATCCCTAAGAAATTCTTGACTTCTCCCATATCTTTTGCTTGAAAATATTTCTTTAGTAAAAATATTGTTTCTTCAGTGTTTTCATTATTTCCCACTACTAATATGTCGTCTACATATAATAATCAGCAATCATGTCTTGATCTCTGAAAATTGTTTTCAACAGCAAAATTATTAAAACTTTCACAATAAAATGTAACATTGTTATGTATTATTTTTGCATGTTTTCTACCTGTTTTATCAGTTTCAAATATTATTTTAAAACCTTTTCTTAATAATTTTGACACAGAAATTAAGTTATGCAATATACCATTAACTATTAGAGCTTCTAAATTTATTTCTTTACCTTGGTAAATACCACTCAGTGTTCCCTTTTTCTCTGCAACCAACGTCTCCCCACTCTTGGCCGTACCTATTTTTATTTCTGTCTTTAAATCTTGTTTATCTGTCATATAGTCTTGCAAGTTCTCTTGTCACTAAATGTTCAGTAGCTCCAGAGTCCGAAATAAAACGGTTTATGTTGTCATTTAAGCTCACACTATTTCATGCAATAAATGTGACTTGTTAATCATTTTCCTTTACTGTTTGCCACATTTATAACATATAACATATAGGCTTGCTTTGAACGTAACTTCATTATCATTTCTACTATTATTCCCATTTTTTGATTTCATTTTTAATTCTTCGTCCAACAATATCGATTTGATAAAATCCATTGTTACATCTGTGTTTAATGTTTCAATCGCCGTTATTACAGGATCATAGATCTCATTAAGAGACAAAAGTAAGTGGCACACCTTATCCGATTCTTCGATTTTAGACTCAATACTTTCTAATTCTCGTATTACAGACTCAAATTTCATAAAATGATCCTCTAATTTTTCGTTCGTTTTACATTTTATTGTTAGCAACTTCTTCTTTATAGTCGACTTCGAAAATACACTTTTCCTCTGAAATACATCTTCTAATGCTTTTAACATAAACTTCGCTGTAGTTGAGTCTTTAATTATATCAAGGTGTTTGTCACTTACACAATGCACTATGATTGATTTTGTCTTTGCATCCCTTATTTTAAAATCTGTCTTCTCTTTTTCTGCAGCAAAATTTGATACTTCTTTCTCCAATGTATCTTCAATCTGTTTCTCCTCCAGAAATGCTTTAACTCTAAACCTCCAGTTATTATAATTCTGTGTATTTAATTGTGGAAATACCACCGACGAGGTATTCATTTTGCCGTTACAAGTTCAATACACGTGTTCAAAAAAAAACTTTTTCGAATGGCGGTCGACGGGACCTGTGAATTATTCCGTTTTGAAACAAACCCACAGCTCGGAAAATTAAAATTAATCTTCCAGGTAAGTCGATTAATCTTTTAATTTGATCGCTTAATAAAATTACACACTGTAGATGTTCAGAGTTAAAGGTGATATAATCCAAAGTAACAACTAATTACACGAAACACAACGGCAACACATATACACAATATACCTTTATATCCGATTATCTCTACAATGAAGAAATGCGAGAAATGGCTTTTTATACGTTAGTAGTAGATGCTCATAATTTTTGCGATAGCTCAAAGTTTTCTCTATGTAGATGTCTCTTAAATAAAAAGGCTGTCACTACACTCTCCATTGAGCAGTGGTTCTCAGCAAATAAACTTAAATTAAATTCCGATAAAACAAATACTCTAATTTTCAATACCAATAGAAGAAGTAAAAAATCTGAACCGGTCAAACTCCTTGGTGTTTACCTAGATGCGTTTTCAACCTGGTCGCCTCATATAGACTACCTGTGCGGTAAATTGTCTTCTCAGGTTTTTGTTCTGAGACAACTGCGAGGTTCCATCAAGCAAAGCACTCTCCGTATAGTTTATTTTGCACTGTTTCATAGTGTCTTATCATATGGATTACTATTGTGGGGGAACGCAACGGAGGCCGAGAGAGCCTTTAGATTGCAGAAGTTTACGGTTCGGGTTCTTGGGGGTGTTCCGCCGTCCAGCCACTGCCGCCCAATATTCAAAGAATTGAAAATATTTACCATGTATGTTTATTCTCCAAACTTTAGTTGAAATTCACTCAAATTTGTTTGTTTTTCCGACTTATGCTGGATATCACAGCTACATGACGCGAACAGCTGACAATATCATAAACATTAAGATCGACGTTGTGTACTAAACAAAAAAATAAACTTAATCTAGACTTTCCATTAAAAAATTCAAACAATTATCAAAAAAATTTTTTGAAGACCATTGTTTCTATTCGATAAACGAATTTGTTACTCATCGGGCACAGTAGATCTAAGTTATTTTAAGTTATTTTATAAATTAATTATCCTTATCCTGTTTTACTTTCTGGTTACACTGGTTTGCTGTTTATATGTAATATATTTATCTTGTTTGTACTGTTCCTGACTTCAAAAATACGTTTTTGTATTTGTAAGTGGTCAATAAACGATTATTTATTTATGTTGTGAGCTACGCATACTTTTTGGCATTTCGTGAAGCTGATATTTCAATTTTGTCTGTAATTCTGTTAAGAGTCAAAACAATTACCCAACAAGGAAGCCCAGGTAGTATGAGTATTGCGGAACCAAGATTTAAATGGAATCTTTTTAAATTAAAATAAGATGACATAAAACCTTTGTACGGAAGATTAATAAATTCCTACGTTAGTCCAGGAGATGCGGAACTAAATAGCCAAATCTTTGTTAATGGTAGGCAACAGACCAGAATTGACGGATTGGTTAAGCATAAAAGATGCGCTTATTCAATGCTTTGCAGATGGGAGAAATTTAGATTGTCTAATTCAAATCAGCCGAATCTAAATAGATTTCAGCTTAGAATAAATCTCAACACAATTTTCATGATAATCAATTTTAATAATTTTTCAAATCCAAACCAATATCAAAATGAATTCCAAAAACCACAATTTCCATCTCAACCAATAAATATTCAACAGAGGCAAATACCTCAAAGACGATTTCCAACAAATCGGAAAGTTTTCGGACCCCCACGAAATGTCTTCAAACTCAATCAAATATCACCCAACCAACTTTCTAAACCGACACCAATGTCAGGTATTTCGAGAAAAACAAATAATTCATTTACATGACGGCCGATAAGACAAAATTATTTTACTAAACACAATCAACCCCCAAATTTTATAGCGGAAGAATTGTT